AGTAACTGTAACTCCAACAAAGAAAAGTCTTCCCTTTTCACTGCATCATAGGGAGCAACTGAAAATAAAAACTTCTGTCTCTAATAGGAAAGGAAATATCTATCATCTTATATTACATTAATTCTTTCCTTATTGCAAACTTGAAAATAGCATCATTATGTTTATTAAAACCAATGGACATTTACATTTTCTAGATTCTTCTTTGCAAAGCAGAGAAGACATTGTTCACTTTTTAATTTTTCACCTCTTTTTGCCTCCAAACAAATTAATCAGGAGCTTTTTAAAATGCCTCTTGGCAAAAAAAGGGGGTTCTTTGTACCTGATGTTAAAAACCAATTTTATTTTATGTGCTCTTATTGACATGTAAAGATTCATGAAAATTTCAAAGAACTATCTGAGACACAGTGCACATCTGCCATAAGAACCACAACTCTGATGTGTTTTCTGTCAGTATAAACAGCAAAGCTGCAGAGAGTTGCTCTCAAACACAAAGGATGCCAGTAGGCCCCCTGGAGATGATGTCCTGTATGATGATATGATGATAGGCACCATGTTTGCTCTATAGCTGTGGCACCTGTCTTTCACAATGATTTATCTAAGAAAGCAACTGGATATGTCTTTCCATATGTCTCACTTGTAAAGACCAGAAGTGATGACAGATACAGATATGCCTTTATGATGGGACTAGAGTGAATTCATGGAGAGAAGAGAAAAAAAAACAATTGGGAACTTATTTTTTGTTGAAGAAACAAATACTTTCAGTGATCAAAATCATAGAAGCTGTGAGGATTAATCAATTTCTACAACTTTTTTTGGTTTGTTTTTAATGTATAAATAGGAGTTCCTTGAAAGCATAATTAGGGCAAAATCATAAGGTTATTTCCACCAAGACAACAGCACACCGCGCCGATTGTGTCTGTTTTTTTTTTGTTGTTCCTGAAAAATATTCTATACTTATTTCCTTTGATTTGCTGGTCAAAATTTACATAATTCAAGAGGTATAATGGAGTTTTCTAATGATACTGCCACCTGTTGCCAAAACTCAGAACTGCAGCACTCTTCTTCTCATTCTCATAGTTCGCACTCATTTAGAAGTTTATTTATTTTTATTTTTTTTCACTATGCCTGAAGTTGCCACTGGTGTCTGAGTATAGTTGGATGTCAGGTGTTTTTGATTATCCACAACATCCATCTTGAATCTAAAGATTTGATCATTTGCCAGGTCGGACCCATTCAACATGGACGCGCATAACATCTCATCCACCGAACAGATAAAAATAAAAAGGTTATTTCAAAAATGGTTTTCAGTAAAACACTTACATAATGTCTCTTTAAGTACAATAACAGTTTATATCAATTTACAAAAGACAATCAGTCAAGTTGTTACTGACCCTTTTCATCTTGCATCTCCTAAAGCCTTTTCAAGTGCAATAGGAAAATGGTTAATACACATCTTATGCTGCTTAATTGTGATTATTTGTATTCAGGTGCAAACACAATATATTCTTTCATGCGGTGCTGTGCTTAGAGCTGCAGGGACATTAAAAGTAATTAAAACCTGGTATTTTGCATGTACTGCTGCCTTGCGGCAAGAAGGTTTCGGGTTCAATTCCCGACCTGGGGTCTTTCTGCAAGGAGTTTACATGTTCTCCCTGTGCATGCCTAGGTTCTCTCTTGGTATTCCAGCTTCCTACTACAGTACAAAATAATGACTTTTAGGTTAATTGGCTTCTCTAAATTCTCCTTAGGTGTGAGTGTTTTTGAATGGTTGTTTGTCTCTGTGTTGCCCTGTGATGGACTGGTGACCTTTCCAAGGTGTACCCCGCCTCATGCCTGTTGACAGCTGAAGATAGGCACCAGCACCCCTCGCATCCTCAGAAGGGATAAAACGTGACAGAAAATGGATGGATGGATTTAACCATTAAGACTTGATGACCATCTTAGGATGAAATACTTAACACAAAGTCAGAGTGTCCCCAAATAGCTATTAGATGATTTAATCAAAACTACACTTTGTTGCCAGAGATATTAGCTAACCTGCCTTAACTGACATATGACCTTAAAGGAATTCCCATTCCTAATCAATAGGGGCTTAATATGTCGTCAACCACCGTTGGCAGCAAGAACAGCTTCTACTCTTCTGGGAAGGCCATCCACAACGTTTAGGGGTATGTTTATGGGAATTTTTAGAGGCATATTTTTAAGGTCACAAACTGATGCTGGACTACAAAAGTCTGGCTCTTAAATTTCATCCCAACTGTGTTCAATCGGTTTGAGATCAGGTTTCCATGCATTCATCTTCACTCTGTCATCCATGTCTCTATCGACCTTTCTTTGTGTTGTGGTGCACAGTCATGTTGGTAGAGGAAGGGGCCGTTCAAAGCTGTTCCCACAAAGATGTTGAAGCATTCAGAGTTCCCTTCGCTCAAACTAAGGGGCCAAGCCCAGCTCCTGAAAAAACAACCCCAAACCATAATACCCCATCCACGATGCATCAAAAATACTTCCAGATGGAGAAGATCGTTTCATCAGACCAGAGAAAGCATCTACTGCTCTGGAGTCCAGTGGTGGCCTGCTTTACACCACTGCATCCAATGCTTTGCATTGCTCTTGGTGATGTATAGCTTGCTCGACCATGGAAACCTATTCCATGAAGTTCTCTGCTTACAGTTCTTGAGCTAACCTGAGGGCCACATAAACTTTGGAGGTGTCTAGTTATTGAATCTGCTAAAAGAGGACTTATTCACTCTATATGATTCAGCAACCGCTGACCCTGCTCCGTCAACTTATGTGGCCGAGTAGCTGTCGTTCCCAAAGACTTCCAGTTTCTTATGATACAGCTGACAATTGACTGTGGAATATTTAGGGGCTAGGAAATTTCCCGACGGTATTTGTTGCAAAGTTCCACACTGGAATTTACTGAGGTCCTGAGAGTGACCGATTCTTTTACAAATGTTTTAACGCTTAGCTGCTTGATTTTATACAACTTTGGCCATGGCACTGATTGGAACACCTGATAACAAGTTGGATGGATTAAGCATGCTGATGTCAGTGATGTTTATTATGCTGATGTCTGCATGGTGTAGCACTAGATTTGGCAATGGACATGAATTTAATTATGTGTTTAGGCCCATGTACACCTATAAAAAAAACAATATACTATGTATATATGGTACTGTTTACTCAAATGTTCTGTGTAATCCTTTCAAAAGACAAATGATGGCTTTGCATTTTGTACATATCGTACAACAACTAATTATCAAGCAATTTAAGTAAAACTTGCTCTTCATTAACCTTCTGTAGAAACTCTTCCACAGATCTCTTCTAATCATGTATGGGAGTATACGCTAATGTTTTTATAGCAATTAACATCCTACAACCAAAAAGAAGAGAAAATAAAGCAGAGGTTTACAAAATTACACAAGATTACCTTGGTTTAACATGAAATAAGGAATAACATAGTGAGAGAGTAGAGGTAATGTAATTTATGGAGGAAAGAGATCATGGGCATTTTTTGACTATGAAGTAATGTTATTTTCCTGCTAGGCAGAGTGAAGGAAAAAAAAAGGTTTGAATGCGACGGATCTGGTTCTGTTTCCTTGATCCATCAACTGCAACAGGACCTAAACAGTTCTCAGCTTTATTAACACCGGACTTAACAGAGGAAACAGCATGAATTGGCATATTAAATAATTACTTTACCCAAGAATCTAATCTATTCCTCAGGTAACTAAATATATGGCAGATTAAGACATTTCCCTTATAATAAAAAAAAAAATGAGAAAAAAAGAAAAAGCTGCCCGAGGACTTTGACCAGTTTTAGAATGTCCGCATATTTGATAGTGAAACCTAAAACAAAAAAAAACAAAACAGTTTTATTATTTCTATGGAGTTTTAAGTTCAACTGACTTGCAGAAAAAAATCCCAGGTCCCGAATTACTCCAGCGTAAAAGTCATGGGGTCCAAAGTGCAACCTTGTGACAAATTGATAAAAATTTCAAGAAATTGATTGCAGTAAGTTACAACAACATAAATTAATACCATTCGGCGATATATTACTGTTCACACACTAGGATCTCACAAATACAAATATCAAAAATACCTGTTTTTTAATCACGATACTCTTCAATCCTGGTTACATTATATAGTACTGATTTGACTCTATTAGTTGTGAAATATTTATATGCTGTAAAACAATCTATTTGAGCACATAAAATAAAACCATGATCTTAACCACACAATCAATTACAAATGTTATACATTATCAGTTACACTTTCTCATTATTCCAAGAATGATGTAGCACAATGAATTGTTCCCAATATTTTGCAATGATATGAAATTATCTAAAAATAAGCTATTCTGTCAGAGTTTGGTGGAAGTTGTTAAGGACTCAAATGCAGTAAAGAGGAGGCAGAAATGAGTTTGCTGATTAAATGGGAAATTGATGGCAACAGAAGCACAAATCAAACAACACTAAAAAGAAACCAAAAAAAAAACAGGAGATATCAGGGAGAAAAAACACACAGGGAGCAAAGCAATGAAGCAACAAGACACCTGCTCTGAGGAACTGCACAGGGAGAGTATATATGGGAGACAGAACAAAGACTGGGGTAATCAGCTGATATGGAACAGGTGTGGATAGAAGGGTGCCAAGGGGAAAGGAACCTGGCACAAGAGGAAACACAAAAATCACCACACTGCCAGAACACAATGACAAAGTCACAAAATTAAAGAGAAACTAAAAATAAAACTAAACAAAGGGCAGAACCCTGACATATTCTTTATATTATCCTAATTACAAGCTGTATTTACAAATGTGCATGCAAAGTCTCATTAAATACATTATATTTTTCCAAGTTTAAAGAATGTGACGTAGCTGTGATTTATATTTACTGTGGGTTCGAAATTAATACTTATGACCAGTTCTATGGTTGTGTATCTATGCATATTTTACATCAGGTCGATATTTCTAACAATACTGTTTGTTCTTATTTTATAGCAGGAGTGATGGCACAGGAAAATGTAAGAGGAGATGGAGTCCTGAAGACGACTGGAGCCCCTGGTAAGTCATAAGATATATTGGAAAAACAAACAATGAAAGAAAGAACGTTTGGTAGTTTCAAAAAAGGTGTTCCAAGCTGAAAATCTTGCCAAAGTGTCTCATTAGGCATACTTCAGTTTTTTTTGTAGACATATAGGGTATGTAGAGCTAACAGGACAACAGTAGAGTTGTCCTGTTAGCTTCTCTTAGAGGACCATAGCAAGGGGTGAAGTTGGAGTATAGCAGGGAGAGGATTAGCTCCCTAAAAGCTATTTGCTTTAGCTACAAAACGATGAATTTATCTCTCCAAGGCATTGATCAGTCTGTGCTTTAGGCTCAAAAATGTAAGTATATTTGTCCCTTTTTCAAAAGTGACAATAGGATGGAGAGAGGGATGGATAACAGGCCGGACCCTCATAAAAACTCCAAATTTACTTGTTTATCAATCGTCAAACACTCAGCTATTTTCAAAACATATTATATAATATAAAACATATTAAACATGACAGAAGTTATGAGCTATTGGTTATAAACAGATGAAAGAGGTTCCCTACATAGGCATGGAGATAGAAAGGAGGAGCACTGTTGTCCGAGGGACGGTGACGTAGAGCGGCTACTCCCATGCATCAAATGAAATCATAGGAAGCCAAGCCAACTTTCTTGAGGAAGGTTTTTTTGTGAAAAAGAAGGCACTGACCAAGGTTTTGAATATAAATTATAATATAATTTATATTCTTTACTACTTTAATATACTATAAATTATATTAAAGTAGTAAAGACAATAAAAGTTTTAAAGGGATGCAATGTACCTGTAGATGTCTCCCTTTGGAACGATTATGGATGCCACATCTTAAGGGGAGCTTAAGGCAGAGCCCAAAAAACTCTGGAAGAACAATATATAGGACTCGCATAGTAAGCACTTTCTGTGACTTTTTGTGAGGTTATATTTTTATCTAAGTAAAATTTGAGATATTTTAAAAGTTTAAAGTGGTTCTTTGTAACTCTTGCACTCTGCTTTAACTATTAGCTCAATTTTAGATATAATAAATGATTTTCTAAATCAGTATTCAAGTTTATAGATGTGTGGGCGGCCTTTATCAAAAACAGGCCTATGTAACTTGAGAGGGTGCGATTTGTTGCTGAATGGGTCATACGACCTAGAATGCTCTATGGCTCCCTTTAGACCAGTGGTCACGGATTAGCAGAGCGCGGTCCGGATCCGGACCCACCTGCTGGATAATCCGGACCCAACCTGATTTAAAGCATTTATAAATGACCGCACGTTGTCTGAAGGCAGCATCTATTTTCACTTGCACCGCCTCTCCTGTTTGTACGATAAAGCCCTGCAGAGCATCCAGCACCAGGCTGCACGTGATACAAATCAGCCAATGAGCTGTTAGTCAGGGTTGCTGCTGCGAGCCACTTTTTACACACAGCACTCAAACCTGTGGCAAGCCGGGAGATGGGAAAGAAGGAGAAGACGATGAGAAAAGGTGAAAGAAATTGTGGACTGCTGGAAGAACTGCAGTGAAGTGATAGAAAAGTGAAATGGTGTGCTCAAAGATGACCCTGCACATTTTGAGTATGTTTGACTCAACCTACTGCTGTACAGCAGGATTTCCCACCATGAACATTATCATAAATAAATATCGATCCTGGCTCAAAATGATATGTGCTTGAGAATGGCTTTTTCAAACCCAGGTTTAAAGCCTTGCAGGGCAGCTTAAAGCCCACTTCTTTCACTAAGCCATAAAAAAGAAAAACAAATAACAATCAGTTTAGCTGTTTTATAAAATATGTGAAACAGGAAGTTGTCTATATACCAAGCTGAACAATTGTTGTTCTCTATTTAAAAAAAACACTTTAGATTTTAAAATGGAAACATGTTCTTTTTTTTTAAGTCAATATATATACACTATATTGCCAAAAGTATTTGCTCACCCATCCAAATTATTGGAATCAGGTGTTCCAATCACTTCCATGGCCACAGGTGTATAAATTCAAGCACCTAGGCATGCAGACTGTTTTTACAAACATTTGTGAAAGAATGGGTCGCTCTCAGGAGCTCAGTGAATTCCAGCGTGGAACTGTGATAGGATGCCACCTGTGCAACAAATCCAGTCGTGAAATTTCCTCGCTCCTAAATATTCCACAGTCAACTGTCAGCTGTATTATAAGAAAATGGAAGTGTTTGGGAACGACAGCAACTCAGCCACGAAGTGGTAGGCCACGTAAACTGACGGAGCGGGGTCAGCGGATGCTGACGCGCATAGTGCGAAGAGGTCGCCAACTTTCTGCAGAGTCAATCACTACAGACCTCCAAACTTCATGTGGCCTTCAGATTAGCTCAAGAACAGTGCGCAGAGAGCTTCATGGAATGGGTTTCCATGGTCGAGCAGCTGCATCCAAGCCATACATCACCAAGTGCAATGCAAAGCGTCGGATGCGGTGGTGTAAAGCACGCCGCCACTGGACTCTAGAGCAGTGGAGACGCGTTCTCTGGAGTGACGAATCGCGCTTCTCCATCTGGCAATCTGATGGACAGGTCTGGGTTTGGCGGTTGCCAGGAGAACGGTACTTGTCTGACTGCATTGTGCCAAGTGTAAAGTTTGTTGGAGGGGGGATTATGGTGTGGGGTTGTTTTTCAGGAGCTGGGCTTGGCCCCTTAGTTCCAGTGAAAGGAACTCTGAATGCTTCAGCATCCCAAGACATTTTGGACAATTCCATGCTCCCAACTTTGTGGGAACAGTTTGGAGCTGGCCCCTTCCTCTTCCAACATGACTGTGCACCAGTGCACAAAGCAAGGTCCATAAAGACATGGATGACAGAGTCTGGTGTGGATGAACTTGACTGGCCTGCACAGAGTCCTGACCTCAACCCGATAGAACACCTTTGGGATGAATTAGAGCGGAGACTGAGAGCCAGGCCTTCTCGTCCAACATCAGTGTGCAACCTCACAAATGCGCTTCTGGAAGAATGGTCAAAAATTCCCATAAACACACTCCTAAACCTTGTGGACAGCCTTCCCAGAAGAGTTGAAGCTGTTCTAGCTGCAAAGGGTGGACCGACGTCATATTGAACCCTATGGATTAGGAACGGGATGTCACTTAAGCTCATATGTGAGTCAAGGCAGGTGAGCAAATACTTTTGGCAATATAGTGTATATACAGGTGCTGGTCATAAAATTAGAATATCATGAAAAAGTAGATTGATTTCAGTAATTCCATTTAAAAAGTGAAACTTGTATATTATATTCATACATTACATACAAACTCATATATTTCAGATGTTTATTTTGTTTAATTTTGATGATTACAAATGACAACAAATGAAAATCTCCAATTCATCATATCAGAAAATTAGAATATTGTGAAAAGGTTCAAAATTGATGGCCCCTGGTGCCACTCTCTAATCAGCTAATTAACTCAAACCACCTGCAAAAGCCTTTAAATGGTCTTTCAGTCTAGTTCTATAGGCTACACAATCATGGGGAAGACTGCTGACTTGACAGTTGTCCAAAAGACGACCATCGACACCTTGCACAAGGAGGGCAAGACACAAAAGGTCATCGCTAAAGAGGCTGGCTGTTCACAGAGCTCAGTGTCCAAGCACATTAATAGAGAGGCGAAGGGAAGGAAAAGATGTGGTCGAAAAAAGTGTACAAGCAAGAGAGATAACCGCACCCTGGAGAGGATTGTGAAACAAAACCCATTCAAAAATGTGGGGGAGATTCACAAAGAGTGGACTGCAGCTGGAGTGAGTGCTTCAAGAACCACCACACACAGACGTATGAAAGACATGGGTTTCTGCTGTCGCATTCCTTGTGTCAAGCCACTCTTGAACCACAGACAGCGTCAGAAGCGTCTTGCCTGGGCTAAAGAGAAACAGGACTGGACTGCTGGTGAGTGGTCCAAAGTCATGTTCTCTGATGAAAGTAAATTTTGCATTTCCTTTGGAAATCAATGTCCCAGAGTCTGGAGGAAAAGAAGAGAGGCACTTCATCCACATTGCTTGAAGTCCAGTGTAAAGTTTCCACAGTCAGTGATGGTTTGGGGTGCCATGTCATCTGCTGGTGTTGGTCCATTGTGTTTTCTGAGGTCCAGGGTCAACGCAGCCACATACCAGGAAGTTTTAGAGCACTTCATGCTTCCTGCAGCTGACCAACTTTTTGGAGATGCAGATTTCATTTTCCAACAGGACTTGGCACCTGCACACAGTGCCAAAGCTACCAGTACCTGGTTGAAGGACCATGGTATCCCTGTTCTTAATTGGCCAGCAAACTCTCCTGACCTTAACCCCATAGAAAATCTATGGGGTATTGTGAAGAAGAAGATGCAATACACCAGACCCAACAATTCAGAAGAGCTAAAAGCCACTATTAGAGCAACCTGGGCTATCATAACACCTGAGCAGTGCCACAGACTGATCGACTCCATGCCACGCCGCATTGCTGCAGTAATACAGGCCAAAGGAGGCCCAACTAAATACTGAGTGCTGTACATGCTCATACTTTTCATGTTCATACTTTTCAGTTGGCCAACATTTCTATAAATCCTTTGTTTTTATTGGTCTTCAGTAATATTCTAATTTTCTGATATGATGAATTTGAGATTTTCATTTGTTGTCATTTGTAATCATCAAAATTAAACAAAATAAACATCTGAAATATATGAGTTTGTATGTAATGTATGAATATAATATACAAGTTTCACTTTTTAAATGGAATTACTGAAATCAATCTACTTTTTCATGATATTCTAATTTTATGACCAGCACCTGTATATAATATATACATGGTTGCATAAACACCTAATTTTAGTGTTAAATGCTGTTTAAAGTGATGGATTATAATTAAAAATGTCTCTGGACCTTTACTGGTTGTTGATATTCTTTATTCAGACCCTACTGATTTCTAATTGGTTACCCCTGCTTTAGAGCTTATTAAGAGGTAGCTAAGCTTAATGTTGCTGTGAGGCAACAAAACTGTTTTATCATTGTAATGAACTCTCAAAGTTCTCATTCTAGTGGTCAAAAGGATCTGGCCATCAGATCCTAAACATGGAGGGAGATTCTTTCATTTTGTGGCAGTGTCGTGTTGTCAATGGCCTTCAGGGCTTCTAAATTGAGAAGCTCCAATTCCATAGTGGCTTAGAGTCACATAGTGCCACTTTGGTGAAGGTGATCGACAGTAAGACTGGGGGTAAATTTCTGGCCGACTTTTCACTGCTTGAATAACAATTTCCTCTGAATTAAACCAAAAACTATGTAACCCTTAATAAGAATGCATTGTTTCTATTCCTGTTCAGACATTAATTAGGCATTTTCTTTCAGCAACTACAGAGCCATCTGGTCAAGTGCTTATTTATCCCACCATGGAGGAAAATGAAATTTCTACAAAGACACCTGAAAGTCATGTCAGCACCTATCTTCATACAATCCAGCCCAATCCTTTAGAGGAAACAACAAATGAAACATTTCAGACAAAACTGCCTGTTCAACACCCAGATACTCCAGCACCCAGTACTACCAGAGGTGACAACCTACTAGAGGTAAAATAAGCTATACTCAGATATTTCACTACAAAGAATGAGCACTATTTCTGCATATGTGGACATGTTAAATACTCTCAGTACAAACTTAAAATCCACTACCTCTACACAACAGTAACATACTGCAGTAATATGTCTACTTGTAAGAAAGAGGTGTGATGAAACGTTTTGGTTTGCAGCCTCGGGACGTGACGTGTGGGAGTAAAGAGACCGTGGAGGGAAAAAACGCTGTTCTCTTGAAACTCAAGAGATCCAGCAACTGTGTAAGTTTAAACAAACTTCTTTTTAGTCTAAATTTTACATTTATTTCTAAGTGAAGTTGTTTTATTAGAAGCTAAATGACATGTATATATCATCACAACCTAAAAACCGGCACATAAATGAGAATTAATGCCTAACTCGCTTTATGTTTCCTAGCTACCAAATCGTTTTATCAAACCTAAACTAAAATATTCACCAATGGCTCAGAAGCCAGTGACCCAGGGATGTTATGCATGAATGTTAATTTCAAAGAGCCTGTGCAGTCCAAGAAATTTCTGTTGCATGTACTGTAAAGCTGGGGCACAGGCTGAGAAGACAGTGGGAGGGCAGCACAATGGGTGGGCCCATTGCTTCTGTAAAATATGTAATGTATAGCAGCCTGGGGGAGAAATGTGGACGTGTGTGTGTGATTGTATGTTTCTGTTTATAACAATAAATTCCTCCGTATCTCAGAATGACAGCTTTGGGGTTTGCTGCTTTCTTTTGTGGAGGTTTAAAGTTACCTCATATGCTTTCTTTTAGCTTTAGCTTTTATTTAGCATGAGGACAAAATGCATTATTTACTCTTTGAACAATGGAAACACAAGGAACAAATTCAGGAGATTTGTGCTGTTGAACAATAGATCAAACCACTGACATTGTTCTGTAAGTAAAACAGTGATGCCCATAGCAAAACATATTTAACTCTTCAAAAAAAAAAAACCTAATTGAATTTGAGAATCAGGATTTCCCAAGTTAGAGAACAGACATAAAGGAAATTGCTTTTAGATTCTAACTAAATCTGTAGGAGTATTCCTGATAGGATTCTCTGACATATGAATAAGTACACGTGTTTTTTTTTTCCTTTTTAAATGCAACTAGCTATGAATGTCCTGCTGGTGTGAATGATTTAAATCATTCAGACACTGTGATAAAAACACATCTGGATATAATGTGATACATTATTTGCAGGAAGACACACGGCAGGTCATTATAGATCATCTTCCACAACTGTGTCATGTAGACTGTAAGATGGAGCTTTATCAAGAAGACAACACAGATAGCGTCCTGGTGTCTGGAAAGTATGTGGAAGGTCAGTATTCTGAATAATGATAATCACACGCCTTCAAACTTTTTCATTGCTTTAGGCGGAGATAAATCATCTCTTTCAGGAATGTTTAATATGTGTGTGTCTTTTAACAGGAAAGCTGTGTTAACACAACCTGCATTCATGCATCCCTACTTTCAGATTTCTAATAGTTATGACTCCTTTGTTTAGATAATACTTTGAGATTAATTTAACTTTTTAGTTTTTACTGCACTAGTGGCTCGTTTTTTGGACAGTAGGCCGACAAGACAGGGGTATGAGAGAAGGGGAGAGACATGTGGCAAAAGACCACTGGTCAGATTCAAACCCGCATCTAGGACTAAGGCCTCCATACATGGGTTATGCGTGCTAACCACTGCTCCACCGAAGCGTGCCCCATTAATCTGACTTCTTTATTTGTTTACATTTGCAGATGATGTGACAGAAATGGTGGACAAATTCAACAGCCTCATCGGAAAAGATAATGTAAGCTTTTTTTTTTAAAGAGATCAAATTTATTTGATGCTTTCAAAAGGACTTTATTCAGCTCATCAAGCTGAGTCATAAGTTTGTCGCTATGTTTCTCCAACCTCTTTCCTGCTGAGAAGACCAACGCACAGCCAGAGAAATTACACATTTCTAACCAAAGCCGTAAATTACACCATTTGTCATGAAGGATCTATAATGGAGGAGTCACTCTAATTGACTCAATGAGCTAAATGCTGGTTGATTTAGGATCAAATTTGTAACACATTAAGGAGAAGGAAAAATGCTCCCCTTAGTCTGGGAATGCTCTCTGAGGCATCACATTGCCACACTGACGGCTGGTGTTAAAAACTAAAAGCCCCAAAACAAACAACATGTCAGCAGCAAAACATTTTACTTCCACCTTAGGACCAGTTTTTAGTCACATCCATCAGTGTCTTTTCTTTTAACATCCCAAGCTTTTCCCCATTACCTGTTTATGAATAAATGTAATCCTTAAATAATCATAACAGTTCACCTGTTTTTAAATATAATCAAACCCAGGAAGGAGTGCATACTGGTTGCAGTAGTAATAATAATGGATCAAAATACTTTTATGTGCTTTATAGAGAAGCTACTAGTAATTATGTAAATATATATTTACATTTGAACCACGTGATTACACACGGAATCAATGGAAGGATAAGGAACCTTTTTCCTCTAAAGTCTGACAATAATTTTTACTGTAATAAACTGATTCATTTTCTAATTTGAACTTAAACTTAACATTTTTAATGTTTACAGGCTTTTCCTAAGTAGATGATATAGCTCCATTAAATATTGTATGGCTTGCATCATGCAATTTCAATCTAGCACACAGAACACATCTTTTTGATTAGTATGATGAATGGATGACTTCATGCTTGTAAATTATTGTTTGAATGAATAATTAGGCACTTTCTGCCACCTGGGGAATTTCACCAAGAATCCTGGGGGGTCCATAGTTCTAGCTTTGGTATCTGGTCAAAATTGTGTTAATTTCTCCTTGTGATGTGATACAGGGAAGCCGCTTGAGGTGTTACCCCAAAGCCCTCTCAGAAATCTACCTGCATTTAACTACAATAATACACTCACAAAGTCACAGCATGACCACCTGAGCTTTACCAAAATGTTTAAAGGCACAGTAATATAAGTGTTTTATAAATATATAAGTTTGAACAGAGATAGACCAAAGAAAACTGCATAAAAGTTATATATTACTAAATATTCTTGCACTAACTAATAATCTCATCTGAACCTAAACTGACTGATTTGAAACTGTAGGAAACAAGAAATGTTAGAACCAAAGCGTAATATTTAAGCTTTATAGACTAAAACACCCAGCAATATTTATATATTTTTCATGATTCTGATCATTACAAGTTAAAATGGAAAAAGTTATTTTAATTTCAAACTGACAAAAATTATGAATCTCTACAATCAAATATTCTATTACTAGAACAAGTAGTAATAGCTAGTAATAAATAACATTGTCAGTCAATCTTGTTCAAATCAACTAAAAAAAGTTAAACAAAACAACAAAAGGTTGACGACCTAAATAATTAGGTGATGGTCTAGTGGTTAGAGCAGTGCGCTTTTGCTCTGAGAAAGTTGCAAGTACCTGGTTCAAACCCAACAGCCTGCACTCTGGGTTCCTGAGCAAAGACTTTCACCTGACACTGCTCCCCGAGTGCCGTGCAATGGCAGCCCGCTGCTCCCCAAGGGGATGGGTTAAAATGCAGGGGTAAAATTTGGGTAGGAAGTGTAGAAATTATTAGGAGCTAACATTACAGTGCACAGCAATACCTTTTGGGTGAGCAAACGTATTTAGCAATAAACAAAGGCACGGTTGGTGGTTTTTGGTGATTATCGACAGCCCTTTTTAAGGTGGATTAACGATCTAGCTTTTGCATAATAGCAGTTGGATCTGTCTGAGGTTGCTAGAGGATAAACAGGGATGCTTTTACAGTTAATAAATTCATTAATATCCTGTTGATTACAACAGATAGAGAATGCAAAAAAAAAAAAAAAAAACTAGTGATTCAACAGTACCGGTACTTTCACAGACTGTGAAACACATAAAATCTTACATGAATTTAGCACAGCCATCACAGAAAATGGAGAAAATGTTTAATAATGGATAAGAGAACTTTTCAAATGTCTGAACTTGAAGACATGTCAAGCTTAATGTGTCAGCATGGAGAGAGGAGTCTGCCCCTCCTGGCTCTCTGGTTGTATTTCAATCTAGAGATGAACTCTAAACTGGGACTTTAGGGAGCAATCGGATGACGGCTTGGTGAAAAATAATTTAGATTGATAGCTGATTGGAGAAGTGAAAGTTAATCAATACACCTGATAATGTTTTCTCTTTTGGCATCACAGGGACTGTGATGACAGTAGAAAATAACATCACTTCAGCCAGAAAAGTCATTCCCTCCATCTCAGAAATTGTTTTAAAGTTTTCTATATTTTCTAATTTCTTTTTAAAATTTTCCATCTCAGAGAAACTTTTATTGTTTTCAATCTTAGAACCTCATAATAACCCAGCAAGACTGTATCCTTATTATAATTAGAAACCCTGTGTTCCCAAATGAGTGGACAAGGATTTGCTTTGTCTTAGTTGCAGACGTGAATTATTTTGATAATTAAAAGGCATAGTAATTAAAAAAAATGCTTCTCAAGTTTAACTTAAATATTTACATATATCACTTGATTTTTTTCTGTCAGACTGATATCCAGTCAGCCACTCCTCGCTGGGGGAAGAACTCAAAGACGGTGCTGGTTTCCTTGCTGCTTGTTGGCTTGTTGCTGGCTGCACTGCTGGTCGGATTGTATTACTTCAAGACACATCGCAAGAACTCCAAAGGTGTCAGATTGGTAAGTTGTTTATTATTAATGCAGTGTTAAAAAAGCCTAAATACATCAGAGACTGCCACTGGTTTCACAACTTTTATCCTCGTCTTCTCAAAATGGGACAGATTGTATAAACGATAATGTAACATTCTGAGTAAACAGTGCAAAGAAAGTGTTTATCTGAAGCAAAGAGCCAAGAGGTTCAAAATTAAAATAAAAAAATACACATGGATGTCATTTTTCTAAAGTGATCCACTCAATTCATGACTAAAGGAGGACACGCCTGACTTTTATGTGGTTCGAATCACCATTAATTCCTTTAAGCTGGTTTTACTTTAGCTCCTTGCCAGGGATTGCACATGTTTCTGCTGTTTTTTATTTTTTTATTATGTAACGTCATCTTTTTAAACATTTACATATGGAGGCACACCTGCAAGATTATTTTACAGGGATGTTATCAAATGGGTGGCCCAACTATTTTCATTAGGTGTAGAATAACTGAAATAGGAACCAATGCTTATAAACCAAACACTCATATAGGTTTTCATCTGTGCATATTACTGTAGGTTTACCAAGAACCGTGTTTTCAAAAGTTAAAACAACCTCAAAGTAATCACAGCCAAATCCCATAAAACCCTAAAGAAAGGACTTATACACTTTCCATACACTCCTTCCTGCTATAGCTTAGAATATATCTTTGCCAATCTAATAGAAGATCCACATTAAAGCTGTGGCTTTGTTTCCTCCTTAGGCTGAGTCTTTCCAGGTGGATGAGGAAAACCAGGCCAACACTCTGGTATCTGTGGCCCCGCTGCCTCAGGAGCCCGCTGACAAACCCACCGCCAATGGAGAGTCTCCCCCTGAAAATGGGGCGAACAGCACCCCAACCACTAATGGACACTCTGCTGCCCAGACTCCAGTGGCTGATACCGAGATGTGAATCACCCTCCCATCTGCAGTATCTCAATGTGCCAGTCACCTACTAACCTCTCCGTTAATCTGAGACAAATTCAGCTTGAATTAATCACAAACATCCGTATCTCCTCCTGCTCTTCTACTAAAATAATAAGACTCCATATGAAGAAGCAAATGTTGATCAAATGATGTCAATGCCTGTAATGTGAAAAGTTTGGGAACACTCGCCTTTGCTGATGTCAAAACCTGCCTACACTGACAGAGAGGCTGGTTAATAGAGACCTGCTCTAACTTCAGTGTTTGCAGAATTATGAAGTCCTGACAATAACGTATTGCCGATCTCTAAAAAAGAAGCAAAAAAAGAAACATTTTTTGTACCAAATACGAAATTGTACTGCAATTAAACCATGTGATGCCTTAGTTTTGCTCTTGAGTTAGATAGAAGGCAGCATTTACAATCTTTTGCAGTACTAAGAAATAAACAATGTGCCAAAGTTTTAAAAATGTATAAATGTAAGTTGGAAGTAGTTAGTTTCTCAGTTGTTTGTTTTGTATACACTGTTTATACGAAATTACAATAAAAGTTGTCTAAGTTGGTTTAGCCTTCTTCCTGCCGAACAACCAAACCTCTGCAGCTAAGCTTTAATTAAAACTCATTGAAAGCAGGATCTAAAGCGTATTTTTATGATGTAATAATGTGGTTTCCAGTATTGTACATTTTTTTAAATATTTGTTTTACAATAAAATAGATTTTTCATTTTTTTACTACTGTCTTAGGTAACTATACAGAAAATTAGCTTGTTTACAAAATAGACTGGGAGTTTTTTAGTTGCCAGGATAAGAAAGAACATCGTTGCTGTGACGTTCTTTCATGGCTCAAAGCAGGTTCAGATTTCAACGTAGCATATTTGTTTACTTATTTTTGTAAAACATGTTTTCTACTCCAGTGTTAAACTTTTATTTTTTATTTTTCTGTTGCTGTGTGCTCCATGTATAAATATGCTTGCTTTCTTATTCATAAACTGTTGTTGTTGCAAACATGCAGGTGGTTCTCATCATATTTGTGCTGTGATGACTTGATAGATCAATAAAAGAAGAACATGCGACCACAAGCCTGAGAAAAAAATCTGGTTTAATATTGCTTTACTCAAAAACAGACACTAACCACAAACCCTATATCATGACCTACTTTGGAATTAGGCTTAAACCAAATCTTGATACTAAAGAGCCATAGCCAGTAGCAAATAGATTAAGCAGATTTAGGTCTCTAAAAGAGACGCAATCAGGACACAGACAGGAATATTTGCATTGATTTGTAAGGACTAATCAGCTATGGTTTCTGGTTCTACATGCAAATACAGTTTTATTTAAAATTTGAGGCAGATCAACATGTCCGACATTATTTTTCTCTTGATATTGTTGGGTTTGATGCTGTGTATATATAGTGTGGTTTCCTTAATATAACTAATCTACCAAACAAACAATCACTGATAAAGATTTTTGTGCTCAAAATTGTATAAACAGGGTGTAAATTTAGATATACTTAAACATTTTTTAAACACATTTTAATCCATTCCACATTCACAACATTATAAGCTTAAAAACTTTCCCATGTCCTAGTTTAGTTTGCCTTCCAAATTTCTTTATTTCCTCAAACCCATTGAATAGAAAAAAAAAAAAAGTTATTGAGTTTGTTTCTTACATATCCTATTAATAATTAATTGCCTGTAGTATTTATTTATTTATTTCATTTTTTTTTTCTTACTTAATATGTGACATGATTCAAATTTTGTTAAAGAAACAAACTGAAAATGCAGAACTACAGCACATTTGGTCATTTTGGACAAGAAAATACTACCTGAGTTTTTAACATTAAAACAAATTCCAAAAATTAGATTTTTTTTATTTGATCAGATCATTCTGTTGTATAACACCAATATACAATATAATTGCCATTTAAATAATTTAAAGTATATAACTTCTCAAACCCAAACACTTTAGAGTAACTTTCTTTATCAAATTGACTTACCATATTGTTTTACGTCACCTCAATTATGTGTGAAATTCAGTCTTGCTCATTGACAAAATTCAGTAATTAGACAACAATCTTAACAGATTAAATCATGATAATCTTATGGAAATTGAAAAGTCTACAGTCTAGTAAAAATGACACCAAGTAATTTTTTTTTATTGAACATAAGATCTGTCTCCTCAAATAGTTTATTAGGTAATGACTTGATTTGTAATAAGGAGGATGAGAAGCAATAAACGTTTAGTTTCTTGATTGGTCCAAAGGTAATTAAAACTTACAATTCTTTTGAACATTTAAATAAACTCTTCTGTTTGCAATCCTCTATTAAACAACAAACCCTCACACTTAGTTTTTAGGTCAGTTTTCAAGCTTTGATTCAGTGGCAAATTCTGACAAGATCATCATATCAGGGGGTTTATACCGACATTAAAGGGAATAGTTTAAATGCAACCTTTGATGCTATCTCACACTCAACTGGACCCCGTTTCATCATTCTGCTTCATTTTATCTCTATTCTCACATTCTGCAGTTTTTGTTCATTTAATCTCTAATGCTATGCTCTCTCTGGTTCTTATCTAGTAGCTTAATCTGGTCTGTTCCTGTTTGGCTGTGAAACCATCCTGGAGAGAAATATCAGCTGTGTTGCTGCCATCAACACCTTTGTTTATAGATGTTCGAGATCAACCTGTTTTTCAGATTAGTTCTGTTTCTCTGACTGTGACTAAATATATGTGCTCTCTTTCATCTTCTGACATGGGAGTTGGAGCTCATCTGCCTCGTTGTGTGTTTCCTGGATGGCGCTGCCTGCGGACCTGGCTGACAGTTGCCATTTGTATCTCTGCTTCTTGAAATATATGTCTTCTTGTCATGATCTGGCCTGTTTGCTCTCCCTTAATTAGTCATTCCTTTCACCTGTCGTTTTTCCCTCCCTGCCTCATTATAATTTATTCCTCTCACCTGTCTCCTCTAGTTTATATTCAGTTCAACCTGAGCATTCAGTGCCAGATCATTGCTTGTCTTTTTGTTAGTCTGTCTGTTCACTTTGCTTTGATGGTTTATGTCCTGGATCCTAGCAGCCAGTGGAAAGAGGGTTTTAGTGTTTGTCTTGTCTCCTGATCGTCCACTGTTCCTCCCCCACGGAGTCCTCTGGGTTTTGGCTCATTATGGGGGGAGGTTCAGTTTTTATCAAAGTAAGCCTGGCTCCAGGGTGGAGACCAGTTTAAAGTACTGCTTCAAGTTCCGGTTCCTACGTCCTGTCTCGGCTACCCTCTTCCACTGTGCCTGCCTGTCTGCACCTGATCCTGTCTGCTCCTGTGCGTGACCTGGTCATGCTTCTGGTCCCAGTCAGACTCTGAACCCTCCTGGAAGCCTGTGGATGCCTGGAAGTCTGGATCCTGCCACCTGTTTCTGTTCCTGCCTGATCTGGATCCTGCCTGTTCTGTCTGTTCCTTTCTGTTCTGGATCCCTCACCAGGATCGGCTTCCAGCATGACCTCTGGGACTGCAGTGCTGGGGACATTCGTGGTCTGGACTGTTAAACCAGAGTGTCTGAGATCGGGCGGTGCCCCGCCCCCCCGCCTGCAGTGTCCGCGAGCCACAGCTCCATTTTGTTTTATTTAATAAACATTTTGAACTTTCCTACTGACTGTCTCTCCTGAATACTGGGTCCATCTGTCCTCAGTTTCCTGACACTTCTTCTGTCTTCTTGAACCCCAGTCGGCCTCAGCAGGTGGCCCCTCACACTGAGCCTGGTTCTGCTGGAGGTTTCTTCTTGTTAAAAGGGAGTTTTTCCTCTCCACTCTCGCTACAAGTATGCTTAGTGAGAGGGATTGCCTTTGAGTCCATGAGTCGACGCAATCAACTGGTTTTCCTTAGATAGAAAATTATGAATACAAATAAAGTGAATTGAAATGAACTGGCTTTGATCAAAATGTGCATACACCCATGTATTTCCATCTTCATATGATGGACCTTGAGCTGACATACAGGACCTTCTGAAAATATTAGCATATTGTGATGAAGTTCATTATTTTCATAATGTAATGATAAAACTTGAACATTCATATATTTTAAATTCATTGCACACTAACTGAAATATTTCAGATCTTTTAATGTCTTAATATGGATGAATTTGGAATACAGCTCATGAAAACCCCAAATTCCTATCTCACAAAATTAGCATATTTCATCCGAACAATAAAAGAGTGTAATAAAGTGTTATTAATACAAAAAAGTCAACCTTCAAATAATGATGTACAGTCATGCTCTCAATACTTGGTGGGGAATCCTTTTGCAGAAATGGCTGCTTCTCTGCTGCGGGGCATGGAGGTAATCAGCCTGTGGCACTGCTGAGGTGTTATGAAGGACAGGATGCTTCGATAGCAGCCTTTAGCTCATTCAGAGTGTTTGTTCTTTTGTCTCAACTTTCTCTTCACAATATCCCACAGATTCTCTATGGGGTTCAGGTCAGGAGAGTTGGCAGGCCAATTGAGCACAGTGATACGATGGTCAGTGAATCATTTACCAGATGTTTTGGCACTGTGAGCAGGTGCCAGGTCGTGTTGAAAAATGAAATCTCAATAAAGCTTTTCAGCAGATGGAAGCATGAAGTGCTTCAAAATCTCCTGATAGCTAACTGCATTGACCCTGCCCTTGATAAAACACAGTGGACTAACAGCAGCAGCTGACATGGCACCCCAGACCATCACTGACTTTGGGTACTTGACACTGGACTTCTGGCATTTTGGCATTTCCTTTTCCCCAGTCTTCCACCAGACTCTGGTACCTTGATTTCCAAATGACATGCAAAACTGAGCAACAGTCCAGTGCTGCTTCTCAGTAGCCCAGGCCAGGGGCCTCTGCTGCTGTTTCTGGTTCAAAGGTGGCTTGACCTGGGGAATGCGGCACCTGTAGCCCATTTCCTGCACTTGCTTGTGTACGGTGGCTCTGGAAGTTTCTCCTCCAGACTCAGTCCACAGGTCCCCCAAGGTCTGGAATCAGCCCTTCACAGGGTGTCAATGATGGCCTTCTGGACAGCAGTCAGGTCGGCAGTCTTACCCATGATTGGGGTTTTAAGTAATAAACCAGGCTGGGAGATTTAAAGGCCTCAGGAATCTTTTGCAGGTGTTTAGAGCTAATTTGTTGATTCAGATAATTAGATGCATAGCTCGTTTAGGGACCTTTTTCATGATATGCTAATTTTGTGATATAGGAATTTGGGGTTTCATGAGCCGTTTGCCAAAATCATCCGTCTTATGACAATAAAAGACCTGAAATATTTCAGTTAGTGTGCAATGAATCTAAAGCCTATAAATGATTAATGTTTTTTCAT